ACCATTTTTCCACTGGAGCCTTTCTGGCACCAGAACTGAGAGAAGATTACCACCAACAGCTGGAACACACACCCAGGGCTGGGCTTTGCACACCGGGCAGTCGCTGTCTATTATCTGATACATTAAGATTCATTTCCACCAAGCCTTGTGTGTGCAATGTTGGCAAATTGGTTTGCCTTGGCTGCTAAGGGCCTATACAGGCTTCTGTGCTGATTGCATGAGGGCTTTGGCTATTTTTAGGCACCAACTAATCCATTAAATGCATAATGCTGCCACTGATGACTTGCAGAACACAGCAGTCAAATGAAAAAATAGTGGAATGAAAGCAAAGCCATTAATAGTTGTGTAGTAAGCACATCATTACAAACACACTGTGAAAGTGTGTGCATGTAGAAACACGCACACACCAGGGCAGCTGGGGAAGAAGATGGCACTGAATATTAAGCAGCCACCAAGGAGGCAAAGAGAAGTCACTTCGGGAGGATCTGGGAAGTGACAGACAGCCTAATAATGTAAGGAGCTCGGCAGTTAGGAAAAAAGCTGTCAAAGGAAAGTGTCACCCCAGAGCACTTTACAAATACAATTTACTACAATTCTACTGAGCAAATTTTGTGTACCCTTTGGAAAAGTTGAGCGTGGGGGAGCACGCAACAGAGGGATGGGAGGCTGTTCATGCATAGTCCTACCCATGTTTGCCAGATGCCCAGTTGGGGCCATCTGGGCATGCTGCAGAAGAGTGGGGCATGAGCCCCTCTTTCAGCTAGAGTCCTCTGGTTGCACCACCAGTGCACCCTCTAGTCCATCTCCTGCTCAGAAAAGCACCACGTGTATACAGGCACACAGGCTAGCATGAGGTCAGTTAGCTTTCCTAACAGAGCCAGCAGCATGCATGCTTGGGGCCATTCATGGGAGTATGCCACACAGCAAGCCAGAAGGGTAAAAATGGCTTATTGTGCTCATTGGAGAAGTCATCTTTTTTTCTAGACTTTTCTAGACTCTCTTTTCCTCCATGAACTCCTTTTAGAGCATGAAGCCTTGACATTGTCAAGGGCCCCTACTACCTGCTGGCCATCGTTCCTCTGAATACATTTTTGTGAATCCTTACAACAATCCTCATTCTCATTCCTCCCACTAAGTATGCAGAATGGAAGTAGCTTGCATGGTAAAATATTTGTGCACTGGTTTGTAAGTGATCTGCATAAGATCCCAGTGCTACAAAGTGGTGGAGGGTAGAATTAGGCTTAGGTCTCTTTGACTCCAGGTCCTGCATTTTCCTACCAGCTATCCTGCATCCCACCCAAGCAAATGATGCCCCATCTTCTTGTTGAGCTGCACAGGCTCCCACATGGATGCTATTGCCCGGGAATCCCTTCTGGACTCACCGCAGACTTGAGGACTCAAGCTTGGAGAACTCTGAGCATTTGGAGTGAGGCCTCAGGGCAGTGACTCTATTGTTTCTGGGGGCCCTCAGCCTGAATTTCAAGGCCAGGAGGAGGGTATGACAGAGCAGTGACTGTCTGCTACCCTGGAGTGGGGGAAATGTGCCACCTGTCCTCTGCAGAGGCTCGGCGTAGTACACAGAGTGGTGACATACGCCTGGAACCCCCTTCGTTCTCTGAAAGCCCTGGGGTGGTGGTCTGGGATGCAAAGACACTTGCATGTGTCTAGGGATGCTGCCCTGGGATGGCCAAGCCACAGCGCACAACTGTGGGAGACTTTGTTTCCTCCACGGCCTGCTCTGAGCTCCAGCAGGCGACTACACTGGAGGCGCCTTCCCATGCTGGCAATAAAATCACTACCAAAGGGAGAGGTCCCAGTCTGCTAGAGGATGGCTGTAGCTCCCAGTGCCAGCTCGGTACAGGGTCCCTGTACGTCCCACTCTGGGTTTTGGGAAGCCGATGCTAGTAAATTTTACAAGGGCTGTTCTGCAAGGCACAAAGCAAAGGATTACAAAAAACATGGGGACCCTTTTCTAAGGCATCATTTACCTGTTTTAAGAGATGAGAAAAACTGCAGCTCTGAGAGGCAAAGCAGCTTGTTTCATAGCAGACCTGACCCCAGTCTGGTGGCTTTCTGCCCCCCACACCACACTGCACTCACTGGGGATGCCCAGGGTGGGCTTATGAGGTCAACTGCCCCTGTGACTCTCCTTCCTTGCACATTGGATTTCTGCCCAGGCTCAGAAAGCCATCTGTCTTGTAGAAAGCCTTCCCTTCCTCAACTCCTCCAATCAAATTTGTGGCTTGGCTAAGTAAGTTAACCGGTTCTCACACGTCTCCACCAGCTGTGGGTGTGGCTGTGGGTGATGTCCGCCCGGGGAGAGACACGGACTGATGCTCCAGGCCTGGGCCCTCGTGGGGGAAGGGAGGCTCAGCCTTCAGAAGGGAAATAAAATCCAGACCTGGGTTCCTGCTCCCCCTGCCCCCCCACCGCATTCTCGCATTCTCTCCTGATTTGGATCCTGTCACTTGCAGCAAACACAGCTGGTGGATGGAATATTTTGGCTGTGAGGATGTCAGCCTGTTTCTGACAGGCTTCTTGGTAAACTAACAAATCATCGGTTGTGTCCGGGCCTTGCACTTTTGTTTCTACAGATTGAAACCCAAGGCATCTTCTCCGCAGACCACAGCCCCCCGCCTGCCTTTGCAAAAGCCCTTCCCAGCATGCAGCGCAGCCACACAGGGGCTGCCCTGACAGATCTGTGAACAGTCTGTGACAAATATTCCACCTCCTAATTTGCACCTGGGCTGTCAGCAAAGTGACTAGTAGTCTGGCTGCAGGAAGGGAACACGCATTCACAGGGGAGCCAATTTCTCTATCATTTAAGTGTTCATTTTGCAAAGCATCAAGAGAGGAAAACACATAGTGGTGCTTCCTCTCTAAGACATGCATGGTTGGTCTGAAACCCAAGGAAGCCTGTGGAGCTCTGGTCCAGGAGGTGGCCAAGGCCTTAGAGATGCAGCCCCTGGCGAGAGCTGCTCTTTATGCTCAAGCTCAAAGAAGTGGTGGTAAGGAACTAGGAGCATTTCAAAATAACACCTCTTTCCATGCCTACCTCTGTTCACAATAACACTAAGGATTTAAAAAAAAAACATAACTCTAAGGATTCAGAGTACATGAAAAACACATTTGCTTGTCATTCTGTTTTCTTCCATGCTCCACCTGGGGCCTATTAAAAGACAACTTTTCTCAAGATACCTTGTTTTCTTTCTACTAGTACCCACCTCTCATCCAGGTAGGGAGGTGGGAATAACCAGCAATTACAGATGGGTAGTGAGTTCTAAATAATGATGCCATTAAAAAAAAAATTCTGATGTTTGCTGTTTTTTTAAAAAATCAGAACTTTGAGAACTCTTTCTTCAGTCTTACAGAAGACTGTAAGCCTACAGAGACACTGCACCAGCAAAAAACTAAAAGCTCTTGGCAATGCAAGCCCATGACATCATGTACAGTTCCTCATCCAGTCATTCACAAGCAGTTCTAGAAAACACTTTAGAAAACTGGGCTCCCTCCCACTCCACTTGATCTTTTAAAAATATATTCCAATGTAGAGTTGCCATTCAATAAACTGCACAAATTTAAGGTGTATAAAAAAAATATATTCCAAACAATTCGAACCATTAACTAGTTTGTCTTTTTCACTTGTTTCATTTCCTTTGAATGTCCCAATATCAGCTACGCCATGACCATATTCAGCTCAGACCTGCAGGGGGAGCTGTCCCATATGAGTGGTTCCATGACCTCGGGGAACTTTTCCGGAGAGAGTGAGGGTCTACAGCCAGGCAAGTTCCCAGCTTCCGGGCCAAACCTGTTTGACTCCAAGCAACCTGGACAGTGAAACTGATGTTTCCTAACAAGGGACCTGGAATAAATACACTCAGGTGATTAAAGAGACTGGAAAAGAGGGCACTGGAGTTGCCCAAGGACATGTTGATCCCAGTTCCAGTTTTTAACATGACTCATCTTGGCTGTATCTGCCCTTGGGGTCTTATTTCACACAAGCCTAAGAGATCACTTGGGACAGCTCTGATTTCTTGGATTGCACCCATGCCTTGTATTGTCTATATTCTGATGCTTTGACATCTTGGGGCCTTGCCGATTTTCGAGGGACTGCCCCTCCCAGGGTTAACCAGTCCTTAGGGGTAGTAAACAATGGGCTTGGGGGAGTGTCCTCATCTTCAAACCAGACACCCACACCTTCTGGCTCTCACTCTGGGCTACTATCCACCTGCTCTAATCATCCCAGGGCCTGGTACCAGATTACTGGGCATAGCCTCTGTGCCCCAGGGCCCCTTAAAATTATTCAAATGAGCCAGTGGGAAGCCTTTTGCCCTGTCTTGCCTGTTCTCTCCCGCAGAAACCACAGGAGAGGCTCTTTGCCCGCCTCTGCCTCCTGACAGACCCTGGGGCTTCTCCGGGGGGTCGCCCAGTGAAGGCCCCCTCCTCTTGGGAACTGAGACTATCTTTTCAACGGCAGTTGCCTCCTGATCTGCCGGTCTCACTTTACCTGGGTAACAGTAAAACCTACATTTTAAAACACAGACATTGGAATGGGATGTGGGGGCTCTGGGCATCTAGTGATCTCACCCCCACCAGCACTGTGCTTTCCTGAGCCAACAGAAACAGGGAGAACGACCACTAGAAGGGCCTTCAGCCCTACAGCCTTTGTCATTCATGGGTCTTCATTTAAACCACAGAACAGAAAATCACCTGAGCGGCAATTTTCTTCATTGTCATGGAGGCTACCTACCTAGCCCCACTCCAGCTGCGGAGAACTTAGCTCATCACCAAGAGCAGATGCCTGGGGCATTCGGACAACTCTCTCAGAGAACAGGGTTGGCCAGGATTCTGAGTCTGAAGTCTGGGTGTAAACAAGACCCTCCTCGGGCCTTGCACAGCACAGCCCCCGCCTTGGACAGAAATTCATCTCACCAGGGAATGAAGTTGGCAGGGTGGCGGGGTGCCCCCTCCCCGGGCACAGGGCCCTGTGCCAGTGTTACCTGTGCTCGGTGCTCCCCCACGGCGAACTGTATCACTGCCACACCCGGGCTGTGGCTGTCCTCGATCCTCTCCACCGTGCTGGAGTCGATCTTCAGGTCGTGGCTGATCTCTGCACTCTGGATGAAGTCTTCCGTTTTCAAGTCCTCCACCTTCTTCAGCTCCCCGTTGGCCAGCTGGATGATGGAACCTTTCATGAAGTAGGGAGGCAGCGTGGGGGGCGCGGCTGCGGGGGTCGCCACAGACTGCACCACGGGCAGGTGGATCTGGGCCTGCACCATAGCTGGGTAGGCGGCCTGGGTGCCCAGGGCTTCTGGGCTGAAGTTCTCGCTCTTGGGAAGGGCGGTGGTGACGAACGTGTGCGGGACTGCAGCAAACTGGGGCGACGACGTGGCAATCGCGGAGGCCGCCCCCGGCGCGTCCATGTCGGCGCTGCCCACGGGGATGAGCAGGGGCTGGGTGCCAGGGATCACGAGGTGCTGCGGCAGGCTGCCGGCATACGTGATGGCTTGCTGCTGGCCGCTCAGGTAGCCAATGACGGGCGGCTGCGCCCCGGCATAGAAGGCGGTGGCTGGCAGCCCCACTGGGAGTGGCTCTGAAGCGCTGTGTGTGGTCTGGATGACTGTGTGGGGGGACAGCGTGGCGACGGCGGCGGCCTTCACGCCCTCGGGACCCAGAGCCTGTTGGGGGGAGAGCGCATAGGACCGGTGCCCCGGCTTCCCTAAATGCAGGCCACTTTTGTCGTTGAGGGTGGAGGGGGAGGCCTCCCGGTGCGTGACCTGTTGCACCTCCAGGTCGGCCGCAGGTGTACTGCTGTTCGGCAGGACCATCACGGAGGCCCGGACCCCCGACGTGTCCCGACTGCTGTAGTCAGCGGGGTTCGGGTGCACCACCACGTGCCTGGGCTCATAGGGGTGAGGGACTGGCTTGCCGCCTGCCTTCACCAGGCCCAGGTCGGCTGAGGCCGCGGGCCCGTACCGCCGGCCCTTGTCCAGCTCACCGTTCAGGATCTCCTTGGCCTGCATGGCCTGCTGCAGCCTGCTGCTCTCAGCTTTCTTGGTGGTGTCCCGAGCAACGAAGTGGCTGCCGGAGTTGGTGTATTGCACTACGACCTGGGGGGAGGGCCCCAGGGTGAGCGTGTGTGGGATCATCGTCTGGTGCGGGTGGAGGTGGACGGGGATGGCCGGAGGTGAGGCCGTGCGCCCTGCGTTCTGCGGAGAGCTGGAAATGTGCACGTACTGGTTTTGTTGCGTGGGTGGTGGGGACCCCGGGGTGATGAGGCCGGGAGTCCTGCCCGAGAGCTGTTGCTGCTCAGCCTTGTGTCCTGAGGCTTGACTCAGGCTGCCCATGCTGGCCAGCAGAGTGGAGTAGGCCTCCAGCTGGGAGCGCTGGGATGGAGTGGTGGCACCCGCAGCAGAGGCCACCGCGCTGGTCACGGGGCTGGCCGTCGGGGAGATCAGCTGTGAAGGGATGAACCCGGCGTAGGGCCCGCTGTACTGGGAGGACCCAATGAACTGGAAGGTGTGAGGAAGGTGGGCGTACTGCACGGGCGACACGGGGGTCCCTGACTGTGGGGGCGGGTAGGCGGCGGGCAGCGTGGTGGCGGCTGGCACAGACCTGGGCGCGCTGGGTGGGGAGTAGTCCAGGCCCGCGGGCAGCGCTTTGTGTAAACCTATTCCCTGCTGTAAGCCGAGCTCCACCGCGTGCCTCCCGCCCCCGGGGCCTCGGCCCCCCGCGCTGCCCGCGAGCCACGCCACGCCCTCCGCGCGGTGGTTGTCACTGGCCAGCGCCGCCTTCTCCTCGGAAGGCCGGCTGGTGGCGGGGATCTCGCGCTTCTTGGGAGGCAGGCATTCGTTGCTCCGCTCTTGGTTGGATTTCATTTTTCGCCGTCCCCCCTCCACGGTGACTGTTTCACTGTCTGGCTGGCTCTGATTTTAGTCTGATAAATGGAAAGTCACATTTGATTTCTGTAGGGGATCCAGGCCCTTCATGAGGAATCATCTCCCCGTGGGTGCGATCCACCAGCAGCAGCTCAGGAATCTGGGAAAAGGGAGTGGAGAGTGACAAGGAGAAGAGAAAAGGGGGGAGAAGGGAAGGAGGGAAAAGAAATCAAGCTATGAGCGCCAGGAAAGAACACCCTCCACAAGACTGAGGCCAGGCCTCCGGTGTCCATGTGAATTCCCAAAACCTGACCACAGCCCCAGCCTTGCGGCAAGGAGAGCACTTGAAGATGGCCAAGACATTGCGCAGGTCAAAGCTTTAAAGCAGATACCTTTTCACGGCGTTAACAAGTCCCCTCAGACAGCCCACATCCTCTCAGCCATGTTGTTCAAGACCTCTCTCCTCTCTTCAAATAGAAGCAGACGATCTGCTTCTTAGATTTCCTTTTCAGAAATGCTGGTCCCACTCCTCACCTCTTCTTTACCTTGCTGGGAAACCAGAGGAAGCCCAGAGGGAGGACGACACAGCGAGTCAGCCTGACCGTGCCCCCAGGCGCAGCCCTGGGACAGTGCCCCTGAGGAGGGACATCCTCAGAGGTCTTTGCACATTTTTTTCTGAATCTAGGAGGGACATCCTCAGAGGTCTTTGCACATTTTTTCTGAATCTGAATCCTTATCTCTCAGAGGTGCTACTCAAAGTTCCCACCTGACTCTGGGTCCATACTGGACTGCAGTGATTTTTCATCCCTAACACACACACACACACACACACACACACACACACACACACACACACACACACAGACACACACACACACACACACACACACACACACACACACACCACA